CATGGGTGGGAACTGTAGCTTGTCTCAAAAGTATATATGAGAGAGACCACTGCCACCCCCAAGGACCAATAGAAAAATTACATGCAAAATTCACCCCATTTCAATCAGTCAACCTGTTTGGCTAAATCTTAAAATTCAAAACAACAGACCAGCTACCGGCGGAGAGGATAACCATGTTCACCGAAAAAATCAAGACTCGGCCAAAGCAAACCTAGGGAGTCTCAAGAAAAGCCCATCCCACACACCAAAAGAAGAGAGAGATCTACGAGGAGCAACCCGTTCAACAATCTCCTCTTAACACCAAACATAGCAAAGACAAGTATAAACCCTTCAAATCTCTAAATTCACCAATGAAACCAGGAATAGTCTCATTCATCTAATTTCCATGCTAAACTCAAGACTTGCAAACCCACACAATTTTTCAACGAACTAGGGGGTACCCCCTAAACCTTATTGAAACGAAGGTTAAGAGATCCTCAACTCCTCAAGTAACTTTATCGCAAGGCAAAGAACCATAATTACCTCCACCCCTGAAGTTCAGAAGCCTTGACCGGGGACTCACCCACTAGGCGACCTGGTCTCTCGGGTGCTCGCGCTTCATCTCAAATTGCTAAGTGCTCCTCTTCAGTCGAGCCTGACCACTCTTCATACTCCTGATTGAGTATCTGATTTGGGGTATTTATCAATAATAATACGAGTTGTGTGTTTATATATTTAATAATAATAAATTTTCAATAATAATAATCTTTATCTTTATCTTTATCTTACTATATAAAATAGCCACACCCCTAGGAAACCGCGTTAGAGCCAAAAACTCCCGCCCAAGTGCGAATACACAATAGAGACTAATATGGCTTTGTTATTATATTTATATAGTAAAAGATGTTGTTTAAAAAAAATTAAACTATAATTTATTAACTACATTGAGATTTAAATGTCTTGGAATGTGAAAGGTTGCTTGCATAGTTGCATATCAGAACTACATTGGGATTAAAACGGCATTGAAAAGTTGCTTTATACTTAAACCTCATTATTACAAATCATTAATAAGGGTGTGAATACAAAATACAAAATACATTTAAATTTGCAATGACTGATGCAATCTCCAATACTAAACATTAAATTTAAAATATCTTAAAACACTATAAATAAGTCCTCAGAATTCATTAACATGTTCATAGATGCATAGATTTATCTTCTGTCGAACAACATGGAAGAATTGTAGCTGGAGAAAAGAAAATTATGGATGTTCTATCTTCTCAAATGCATCAAAGAATTATCGCATGTCTCTGCATCAAAGTAAATTGTGGATCAAGGTATTATGGAAACTGTTTTGCATTGTTTCTTTATCCACTTTTTTATTGCTGTTGGTTGTCACCTGATCTGTTATTGCCACCACCAACATGGAATGAGACAAATTGCCACCACCAACATGAGAATGAGACAAAGAGTATGTCAACGAGAGATAAATGGAACATATAGTGATTTCAAAAAAGGAATATAATGAAGAATTAAAAATACAGAAAAAAAAAAAAGTAGAAGCAAAGGTAAAGCAGAAAAATAGTAAAAAATATTTCAGCATGTTAAACCCATTTTTAAGAAAAATGTTTCTTCTTTAATTTCGAGTATTTATGGCAGATGAGTTGGAGTACAAGTTTAATGAAGAAATGGGTCCACTGGAATAAGCAGTAAAATGCCTATATGGAGTTTAATTTTTGAATACCAGTACATTACAACATCTACAATCATTATGAATATAGATGTTTGCAGGATTAACTATACAATGCTTGGTAGTATATAACTATATGTATGTATATATATATATATATATATATATATATATATATATATATATATATATAATTTTATGAATATATGTATATTATGAGATGCATGGATGATGTATGGAATTCAAACTGATTTCCAAACTGTTTGTATGTTTTTATTTATTCTTTTTTTTTTTGTTGATTACTAATAACTTCATTGATCATTGCATGTTTTTAGATTTTGTGTGTTTTCAGGTTTTCGCGCTTTTACAATCATTTAAGTGTTGGAAGGGATTCAAATGATTGTAGAATTTGGCTGACAATATATATTTTGTTGTCAACCATAGCTATTTAGTTCTCTTTTAATGGGATAGAATTAAGTTTTTAGTATTTTTGTAATCCAGGCTAATGCACTTCTTTGTAATGCTAAGGTATTTTGTATAACTTTAACTTACAAATTTGTAATATCTCTTCTAATGTTTTTCTTAGCTAACGATCACAATTCACAGGTCAAATCAAGTGTTGCTTTTGATCTGTTTAGGCAGTACTAATATGTCAACACACAGATTAAGTTGCAGTGTTTAGGCAGAAGGATAACTTTATAACAAATAATTGAAAATTGCATCATAGCTATTTCCTTCTCTAAGTGTCTTCTGTTTAACTATATATCAGCATCAGACAGTGGTAGAGAGAACAGAGTAAAGTTTTTTTCTATTAACATGTAAAGATTTGCAATGTGTTCATATTCTTCTAACACCTCTGAAATTGTTAATATCCAAATTTAAGATCTAAGTATTACACTATAAATTAACGTACAATCAAGAATTTTAATATGTAATACAGATGTAGTTACGATAACATGCAAGTCATTTAAAAGAGATTTTTATAAAGAGATTTCAATTCACCTGGTATCTTTAATATGTAGGAAAAAAATCAGCCATTCCGCATACTATTAAAAGTGTTGAGATGTATTCTACTTCACAATTTGGACTAGATCTAGATTCAAAATAAATTTTCAGACTTGTAGGACAAAAAAATAATTAAATTATAGATATAACCTCTGTGAATAGCTTGATTAGTAGACGTGTAGTGTTGATCGAAGGACCATCTACAACAATTACGAAAATTGGTTCCTGCAAAAAAATACACTCGTTAAGAACGTACAAACAAACATAAATTCCAAGAACACGCTGTAGTTGAAGTAAATTGCAAGGCAATCTATAAGCAAGCAATCGGAGTACAAGAAATCGGTCTCCAAGCTCAGAAATAGGAAAGTGGCAAATGAGTTCACACTAAGACAGAGACAAAAACTGATCTGTTTACGCTAACATGGATTTGATCGAAAGCAATTTTTATAGGATTCATAGTGCGACTTAGACGCACAATAGAGACATCAAGACCTATATTGAATTTGAACAAGAATATGATTGATTTTGATTTTTTAATATTTGGAATGAGTTTTAAATATGATTTATTTTTCTATAAGATGGGAGTATAGTCAAATAGTTAATAAAGAGTATTAATGCGATGACATAATCTATGAACATGCAATCGCATGTATGCATGGTACTTTGGACAGAAGCTTGTTTTCGATATTTGTTTTCGATAGCAGTCGCAGCTTCAATATGCAACCAAAGTGTCATGAATCATCTTCATCCAGCTATAATAATCGAATGATGTTCAAAAAATTGATGCCTTGTGCCAACATCATTTTCATCCAGCTATAAGCATCTCCATTTTCGAACATCATTCGATTCTTATAGCTGGATGAAGATGATTCACTGCACTTTGGTTGCTATTGAAGCTGCGACTGCTATCGAAAACAAATAACCTATCTATATAAAACAAACGACTTAGATTTAGGGAAGAAGAAGGAAGATACTTTTTAAAATCTCAAAATTGCCCTTTAGGTTTGACTTGCAAATAACACTTAGGACTAAATCAGGTAAAAATGTCATAGTCGAGGACAAAATTGAATAATTTTGATAGTCGAGGAACAAATTGATAAAATTCTCATAGTCGAGGGACCAAATTGGTAATTTTTTCATTTATATTTTATAAATTATATATTTTTTTTTATTAAAGCTCTATCTCTATCTCTATATATATTAAAGCATAATGAAGTATGGAAAAAAAAGTTAAACTTTAAAATCAACATAATAATAGCATAATTAAACTTTTAAAAATATTAAATATTACATTGTATAGTTATATTTACATTTTTAATCAAACTAATTCTGAGCTCAAAGTACATTTTTCTGTTTCCATAACCATTACTTTCTTTGTTAATTCAGAAGATGTCAAAAATTTAATTGATAAATTTGTTAAATTAATAATAGTCTGTGCATCGCACGAGACAATTACTAGTAAATAGTAATAGTAATAAACTTATTTAATAATAAATAATAAATAATAATAGTAATACGCATACCTTTAAAGATTATTTTAAATACAATCAACTAATATAAACAGTTAATTTACCAAATATTTTTTATAATCAACTAATACAATCAATTCATCAAATCAACAAACATAATCAGTTATTAAATACTAGGGATGACAACGGGGCGGGGCGGGGGCGGGGAATGGGGTCCCCGTCCCCGAAATATTTCCCCATTCCCCGTCCCCGCCCCGTTCCTCGGCGGGGATGGGGAATTATTCCCCATCCCCGTCCCCGTGGGGAATTTTCGGGGACGGGGAATCCCCGCCCCATTTTTTATTTATGCCTATTAAAATTAAATACTAAATAGTTTACAGTAACCACAAATTTTAATTCCTAAACAGTTTACTACACTAAACACTAAACACTAAACATTTTAATTCCTAAACAGTTTGCACTAAATACTAAAATTACTAATTAAAATTCTTAATATTATTAATATTATATATTATATAATATATATATTATTAGTCGGGGATTCGTGGACGGGGTCGGAGATCAGGGATCTTAATATTATATATTATATAATATATATATTATTAGTCGGGGATTCGTGGACGGGATCGGGGATCAGGGATCGGGATCGGGGCGGAACGGGGAATACCCTTCCCGTCCCCGTCCCCGTCCCCGTCCCCGACTGGGATTGAGAATTCTCCCCATCCCCACCCCTGTTCCCCGAAATAAATCCCCGAACTCGTCCCTGTCGAAACGAAAATCAGTTTCCGTCGGAAACGAATTTAATTACCATCCCTATTAAATACCAACTAAATCAATCAGCTATCAACTAACCTAAATCCCCTAATCCATTCATTCTCTCGGCTTCTGGCTTCTGGCTTCTGCGCGTCTGCTTCTCCATTCTACCATTCCACAATTCCACAGCCCACAGACGACGTGCGACGGTTCTCCGGTCTCTCTGCGACTCTGCCCCTCACCGTCTCACGATCACAGCCCACTGCCCCACAGTCCCCCACGCTCATAGCATACGCACTCGGCACTTCTCCCTCGTCTCCTGTCTCTCTGCCCACGGCTTATGTTTGCTGGCTTGCTGCAACAGAATTACAGCGACTGAGCGACAGGTTTGTTGTTCATGGCTTGAAATTGTTAAAACTGCAGTTATAAACATTTGTAGAGTTTTACTTCTATCAGATTTTCTATGCTTTAGTTGATCAAACACTTTTTGGAGAGCAGCCGTTCTCAGTCAGAGAAATATTTGTAATATTTCTGTCATTTTATCAGATTTTATGTAAATTTTGTACGGTCGAAACTTCAATTGGTTTTTCGACCTTGCTAATTGTTACGGAGAAATTCTCAATTTCTGTGGGATCATGTGTCTTGCCGGTGGATCAGTGAATGGAGAAGAAGACGACGATGCAATCAAACCCTAGCTCTAAGAGTAGCATGAGATGTCCCCATTGCGCTGGTCCCCTTTCCAATGAAATGGTAAATTCTCACAAATTTTCTCTTCATTTATTCCTTTTTCAGCATAAATTTTTCATGAAATTTTGATGTAGTATTCTGATAATCTTGTCAGGAGACTAGCGAGTGGACAGTTCCACCTTTGATCAGAGACAGCTTTTCTATGGTACTAATTTACCATTATATACATGTGTGTATACAGCCCTAGTTTATATCTCTTATTTGATTAATTGTTTTTTTTTTTTTTCTTTTATTTATGTTGTTATGGTTTTATTGTACTGGGATGAGCTAGATTGGTACTGCTGTTGGTGGCACAACAAGTGCGTTTTATGGCTTCAACCATGGTAATGATGCTCACCCCATAATTTGGTTGTTACTATCTTCGGCTAGCTTATGACTACAGTGATCACTTAGGTGCAAAGTGCAATTAAACATCATTTTCCAATTTGTTAATTTTATTGGTTGTATATGATCTGATGGATGTTATGTGAATGCAGTTTTCAAGGTAACAAAAATTGATCCTAGACACATAAGAAGCAAAAGATGATCAAGATATATGTTATCATTAAACTATTAGAATATCGTTATTAGTATTGTCACTTATAGTTGATTCAAGTAGGAAACAGTAGGAAACAGGGGCGTACTTTTATTATAAGCAATAAAATAACTAGTTAGAGAATGAAGCAGGGCAAAATTGAGTATGCTTGATTTGTGTAAATTTAAATATAATACAATGAAAATTTCCTTGTAGTTCTAGAATTGGTTTGAGGAAAATTCTGGCAAACCTTGATGTGGGATATACTCCCCACTATACATTGGCTTTACTGGTTATTTTAGGCATCACTTCAGAGTATACTTTGAGGTATGTATTTGCAACTCCATATTTAAAATTAAGTTGTAGGTTTCTAGCCAAAACTTTATAGTTATATTGGTTTCATGGTGAGCTGGGTTATAGCTCGATAGTATTTTGTGCGGAATTGAGGATGTGTTTACACTGTTGAATGTATCAAGTTCTTCTAGATCACCAAATTGTTAGAAAATATTTTGAGTTGTGTGGTTGATGCTCTTATTATGAATTTCTTTTGGACCATATCTCTTTATCTAAGAATATCTATTTGAATATCACGCATCTTCTATGTTCTACTGGAAGGATTGTGATTTCTATACAATCTTCATCTCTATTCTCTACTAATAAGGATTATGAATTTTACAGTGATTTTTAATGTTTTTATCTCATCTTTTTATGACCTTCCAGTGATGCCTATTGTTCGAAGATGGATTAAAGGCCCAATGTGGTTACATTTCCTTGTTGGGGTAAACTTTCTCTTTCTGACTTGACATATATCACAGTTTCTCTCCTTGCATTCTGAGGTACTGTCATTTCTTGCCCTGCATTGCCTGGAGAAACATTGTTATCCTCTAGGAGTGATAATCTTTATGTTGAGTGTCTGTGGGTGGGGGGTGGGTAGGGTATTTGTGTTGGCAAGATATGGGCTCCATTAATAATAACCCTCAATTACTTTTTGGTAAGAATATCAAATATGGTACATTTCTTGCTGTGAGAATGAAGACTTAGTCAAGGTTTCTTTGTTTTTATTTTTAACTTTCTGTTCTAGTATAATTTAAAGTTGTTCATCTTTGCTTCCCTATGATTTTTTGGTACATTCAAAGAATTCTTCTGATGCATCATTTCATGGTTGCAGGCTCCACCTGTTATTGTTTTCTCATCGGCATGTGCAGGATTGGCAGGTAATAAGTTGCTTTTTCCACAATTGCGAGTGTTAGTAGTTGGCTTGTTTACGTTTCCTAAACGTCTTACATTGAGTTAACTTTTTTCCTATTTAATCAAATCCCTCATTCACATGGATTTGTTGGGTGGGGATGGGTACTAAAAGTAAATAAATAAAATGAGGCGTTTATGTTAAAAAGAACATTTCCATTGACACTAGATTTGAAGTTAAAGCCTCCTTTGGACTCTGACATGAATGGACTCCTCTTTATATTTTTTCCTCAAACACTGCAGAACTTAAGTAACCTTCCCCCAGGATTGCTGAGATTCTAAAGGATGAGATAACAATAATCTGATTGAATGAATTGAATTACAGAGAGAGAGTCTATCCTATATTAGAGTCTACATAATATTCTCCTATCCTGTAGTCTAGAGAATTAGACTAAACCTCAACCACTAGAAATACAACCATATAGTATAAAATAATGTACAAACTAATTACATTACTAACACACCACCTCAAGCACAAGGTTGGAGGGGAACAACATTGAGCTTGTTTCTGAGTAACTGATAGCGTGGAGCAGGTAGTGGTTTGGTGAAGATATTAGCCAGCTGTTCCTTGGTGGAGACAAAGTTGACAACGAAGTCACCATTCGCGACTTTGTCACGGACGAAGTGGTAGTCGATCTCAACGTGCTTCGTGCGAGCATGAAAGACAGGATTTGCCGCTAGGTAGGTGGCTCCCAGATTGTCGCACCAAAGTGTTGCTGGTTGACCAGAGTGTAACCCAAGTTCACGGAGTAAGGAGATAACCCACGTAACCTCGGCTGAGACGTCTGCAAGACCCTTGTATTCAGCTTCTGTTGAGGACCGCGCTACTGTGCGCGGTTTGCGGGAGACCCAGAAGACTAGATTATCACCTAAGAACATTGCATAGCCACTGGTAGATTTACGGTCTATCGCACACCCAGCCCAATTCGAGTCGGAGTAGGCATGCAGATCTGAGGAAGCCGAAGGTGTGAGCCGTAACCCTAGATCTTGTGTGCCTTTAATATACCGTAGGACCCGTTTGAGTAAGGCCCAGTGTTCAGTAGTCGATGTGTGCATGAACTGGCATAACCTGTTGACGGAGTAGGCAAGATCCGGACGAGTGATAGTCAAGTACTGTAGGGCTCCAACAATACGACGATACTGAGTAGGATTTTCGAACGGGTCAGAAGAGGGACTAGCCGGTTTCGTGACGGCTGCTGGAGTGGCCAGAGCTTTGCATTCAGTCATCCCAGAGCGTATGAGAATGTCCTTCATGTACCGTCGCTGAGAAAGAACCAGGGTATCCCTGACTGGTAGAGTTTCAATGCCTAGGAAGAACCGAGGTTGCCCAAGATCTCTAATCTTGAACGGCGTGGAAAGTCGTTGAAGCAATGTGGCCACGAGGTCTGTGTCGTTACCCAGCATAATGATATCATCTACATACACTAGGAGAAAGACCCATGATGCCCCAGTGGTGTAGTGAAAAAGCGACACATCTGTTTTAGAAGCACATCATCGGCTTTCCGCTTGGTGCGAAAAACCCACTTGCAGCCGATGATGTTCATGTTCGGTGTAGCCGGTGTGAGCTCCCAAGTACTATTGTGCAAAAGAGCATTGAACTCCTGGTCCATGGCATCACGCCACTGTGGGTGACCAACGGCCTGTGAGTAACAAGTTGGGTCAGTGGACGCAGTTAGGGCGTAGAATTCTTCGTCCGTGCCCTGAGTTTGACGTCTCGTGCGCATGACATGCGGAACAACAGCCTTGCCCTGACCTCGGGTGGCTTTGGCCCGCCGAGCCGGTGGTTCAGTCCTGGCATTGGTGGGCGAAGAGGGCGGGGCTGCTATAGCTAACGGGCTCGGCTCTTGTGCTAGATGCAACTCTATAGAAGTAGGTGTGGATTGGGAGTCCACAATTATTGGCCCGGACCCCAGGGTGGAGTAGATGGGCTAGCTGCAACCTGTACATCAGACTGCATAACAAATGGGAAAATTGACTCATCAAATTGGACATGCCGGCAGATAAAGACTTTTCCCATGATTGGATCCAGACAACGGTACCCCCTATAGGAAACTGGGTAACCTAAGAAGACACAGGGCGCCGACCGATATTCCATCTTGTGCCGATTATAAGGCCGTAGATAGGGATAGCAGCGACACCCGAACACACGAAAGAAAGTGTATGGCGGTTGTGTTTTATATATGCGAAAATAGGGACTCATTGTTTATAGCGGAAGATGGTAGGGAATTAATCAAGTACGTTGCAGTTTCAAACGCACAGTCCCAGTATATTGCTGGAGTTGAACTTTCAGCAAGAAGTGCTAAGCCGGTTTCGACAATGTGTCTATTCCGACGCTCAACTCGCCCATTTTGTTCATGTGTATAGGCACATGACTGACGATGATTGATCCCGAGAGACTCAAAAACTTTATGTAGGCGGTGGTATTCACCCCCTAGATCAGACTGGATGGCGACGATAGAACGGGAAAATTGACGTTCTACCATCGCCCGGAACACATCAAAAATTTTATATATATATGATTTTAACCTTAACGGATAAAACCAGCAAAAACGAGAGTGGTCGTCCACAAATAGTACAAAATAGCGGTAACCTGAAGCACTAATCACAGGAGACGGACCCCATATGTCCGTGTAAAGTAAATCCAATACATTATTACTAGTGCTCAAAACTCTATTTAAAGGAAATCGTGAGGATTTTCCTAGTTGACACGCAGTACAAACTTTTGACAAACTAGTTTTATTATGGACTACCGGACAGTGTTTCAGGACTCTTTGTAAGGCTTGATTGTGAGGATGACCGAGGCGTTGATGCCATACTTCGGAGGACGCACGCGCGGATAAGAAAGCACGTGGCGACTGGGGAACCAATAATTTGTATAGTCCTCCCGAGGTAGACCCTTTAAGAAGAACCACTTAAGTTTTGCAATCCTTCACAAGAAACAGATTTTTGTGAAACTCAAAATAAACATCGTTTTCATTAGTAAAACGATATACAGATAACAACGGTGAACACAAAAAATATTTGACATTGACAAAGATTTAGATTTAGACGGGATAACCGTATGTCCAACATGAGAAACGTCCAAACCTGTACCGTTGCCAATTTTCAGAACATCACCGCCGGTATACGCCTCGGAGTGATTTAGCATCTGTTCGTTCGGGGTTGCATGCGATGAGGCTTCGGTGTCCGGATACCATGCATCCGCCGCTCCATGAACTGCCGAGTCGCCGGAAACCGCCACATTGGCGTGGCTGGCCGGTCGATCGGCATAACGCTTGAAGCAGTAAATGGCGGTGTGGCCATGGGACCTGCAAATTTGGCATCGAGGACCACCTCCACGACCCTGCCGTCCGCCATTCTGACCGCCTCTGCCGCGGTTTTGCCGCCCATGACCACCACGGCTGTTTTGTTGCTGATCGCCGCCGTGTCTCCCTCGCCCTGCGAAGAATGCGGTCGGTGCACTCCCACCTCCAGAAGAGTCGCCCACTGCAAAGTCATCCTCATGGATGAACTCCTGGGCTTGGAGAAAATCGGAGAGCTGCGTCAAGGTCACCGGAGCTCCGGTGGCAGTGAGGGAATTCGCCATGGTCCTGAACTCCGGGCGTAGGCCGCGAAGAACATACAGGATCTGTTCTTCATTGGAGAGCGGTCTGCCGGCAAGGGGAAGGGCTTCTGCGATCATTTTGCACCGTCCAAGATAATCGGCCGGCAAGCCAGGTCCTTGTCGGAGGGTCTGGAATTGCCCCGACAGGGACGGTGGTAACTGTTCGTTCTGAGGAGTTAGTTGACATCTCAATTGTCGGGATAGATTGAACAAAAAAAGGGCTAACCTATCGCAACTGATACCAGATGAGATAACAATATCTGATTGAATGAATTTGAATTACAGAGAGAGAGTCTATCCTATATTAGAGTCTACATAATATTCTCCTATCCTATAGGCTAGAGAATTAGACTAAACCTCAACCACTAGAAATACAACCATATAGTATAAAATAATGTACAAACTAATTACATTACTAACATAAAGACATCTACTTCATTTTGAGGACCACAAAACTGATCCACTGTTGCATTTGCTTGTATCATACTATCATCAAATTTGAACAAGTTAAGGTTTGGACCAAAAGCTTGCAAGCTGGCAGTCATTAGTCTTTTGTATTAAAAAATAAAAAGAGATATGGGGTAAATATTTATTTGTATAATAATATCATTATAAAACTGCATCTGCCTAAACTAATGCCTTTCTCATCCTTTGGAATTAAGATGGAATATGACAAACTTGAATTTTAGCCTCATTCAAAAATATTGACTGACTGAAGTCAGCCAAGCACTAGTCTTTACGTTTCCACTGTCCACTTCAATGTTCCCTATCTGACTTGATGTACATTGGTGATAAACCTGCCTACAGGTGGTGCTGTTCCAGCACTTGCACAACTTGCATCATCTTCATACCATGCCGCCAGCTCATCTTCCACATTACAGCCTCCTTCCTCGCAGGATGAGAAGATTAACAAGTCCCGACAATCCTCCACTCTAAAACATTGCCGGTGAGTGATAGATAAGAAGCAAAGGACTCTTTGGCGCATCAGTCTCCTGACAATCTTGCCCACTATCAATGCAGCCAGCTATAGGGTTTCCATTGCATGATGCATCAGATGTCCTCTGCTCCATTTAGGTGGTCGCAGGACACTTATGTTGGTATCTAATTTTGGTTTAGGTATTATTCTTTTGGTGTTTCCCAGTGATTAAAAGAATGCATTTTTATGGGACCTGCAAGTTATATGTAAATTGCAACCACAGGTTTTAAGCTATAGTTGTGATTTAATAGGGGCATGTGATTTTGTGGGTGGTGTGGTGTGGTGTGGTGTTTAGAGTGCATTGACTGAACTCAAGTGCTTCAGTCTAAAATGCTAATAAATTTATTCAGCATCTTTATTCTTTTGTTCGTTCAATGGCTGGAGGAGAGTGCAATGCATTATGCATTGATTAATGCTTCATTTGCACGCTTTGAATATGATGCAAATGCATAGGTTTGTTAATGATATCTTTTATGTTCTTCGGAATAATAGTGAGTGACGAAGAAACAAGGTTCTTCATTCTCCTTGCTATAGAACCTCCCACTCTAAATACTTGTATCTTTAAAGGGCAAACTAGTGTTTGTTGCCAACTTGCGAAACTGTAGTTCATTTTCGTGCAGACTTGCTACCTTGCAATAAAATAAAGTAAAATAAAAAATCATTTAAACATAATGTATGCTTGTATTAAATTTTCAATTGTCAACTATTAAAAGTAAAATGCTTTAATTGCTAGTGATATTTTGAAATTTTATCCACCAAATGTGAACATTTTTATACTTACTGTTTTAAATGGGGTAATTTTGGCTTGTTAACGCGTTGTCATTGCCTAGTATACGACACCACCTTATGTGATTTTTTTATGAGTTAATTATCGAAATGGTCTTTGACTATTTTTTTTAACCAATTAAGTCCTTCAACTTTAAAAATCTTAACCAATTTGGTCCTCCGTTTGTTTGATTGTTAGTCAATCGTTAACTTGGGACCAAATTGGTAATTTCGCTATAGTTAAGGGACCATTTTGGTAATTAACTTTAGGGGTGGGCAATTCGGTTCCAAATTGAATTGAACCGAATACCGTTTGATTTTAAAAATATATATAATAATGATAAGAGAAAATTTCAATTTTGGTCATATGACTATAGGGTTCTTGTTAATTTCAGTCCCTAACTTTCAAAAGTGTCAATTTAGTACCTTAACTATGCAATTTTTGTCAATTTTAGTCACTCCGACCAAATTGCCGAAAAATTTTAATGATTAAAATAATAAGGGTATTTTGGTCGTTTCACGCCTCTTTTCTTCTTCTCCGGCGAGTCCACCACTTTCTCTCCCGTTTCCAACATTCTTTCTCCCTCTAAACCCTATCTTTAATATCATCAAGCCTCATTTCCCCATCATCTTAGTTCATTGCATTCACCAGAAACGGGAGAGAAAGTGGGACCACCCGAACTGGGACCCTTAAGCAGCACCACCTTGGTTGTGCGATCCTTCACAACAAAATACTCAGGATGAAATTCAAAAAAGACGTTATTGTCAGTAGTGAATCGATGAACAGATAATAATGAAACGGAAAGATCAGGAACATGTAGAATGTTGGACAGTTTTAAAGGTTTAGAGACAGATAGTATCGTTGCACAACTAGTACTAGAAATACTTAAACCTGTACCGTTACCAATGCGAAGGACGTCGTTGCCGGTGTAACCCTCGGATTGCGACATCATGGCCGGATCGGGAGTGGCGTGAGAGGATGCGCCGGTGTCAGGATACCAAGCCGCAACCTCCGGTGGAGAACTGCCATCGGAAGGAACTGCGACATTTGCCTGCGGTGGTGATGGTTGATCGGAGTACCGCCGAAAACAATAAATGGCAGTGTGGCCGTGTGACCGACAAATTTGACAACGAGGAGAGCCACCACGACCACCACCACGGTTCTGCCACTGATTGGGGCGACCACCACCGTGATTTTGTCTGCCTCCACTATTCTGCCTGAGTGGCAACCATCGCCGTAGGAGCTCCAGTCCCCGGACCGGTCAGAAAGTCGTCGGAGTGGATAAACGTTTGAGCTTGTAGGTAGTCCGACAATTGAGGGAGAGTGACCGGAGTGCCAGATACAGCCAGAGAGGAGGCCATCGCCCGAAATTCCGACCGGAGCCCCCTAAAAACGTACAGATTCTGCTCGTCAAGAGGCATCGGCCGGCCGGCCTACGCTAGGTCTTCGACGAGAAGTTGGCCTCGGCCGAGATACTCGGCAGTTGACATCTCCCCTTGGCGAAGCGCCTGAAATTGGCCAAGAAGGTTGAGGCACCGGATCCTCGTCGATGAGCCTAGAGCAGTCTCGATGGAGCACCATACTTCCCTTGCAGTGGAGCGGCCAACCGCAAGATACATGACTTCCTCGGAGAGGGAGGAGATCAAGAGTTATAAGATGGACTGGTCTTGTTGAGTCCATACGGAGAAAGCCGGATTGGCAGCGGTGGACGTGGCTTCATCGGAGGTGCCGGCGGTTGGAGTGGAAACAACCAACGCCGGTGGGCACGGCGTGGTTCCATCAACAAAGCCGAGAAGGCCCTGACCCCGGAGGAAAGGGATGAGCTGTGTACGCCAGAAGAGATAGTTTCGTGTCGTCAGTTTGATCGACACGAAATGGTGAGCCGAGGTAACGTGGTTTGGGCGATGATCGGCGGCACCGGTGCAGCGGGAGTGCTCATCGTTCTTTCGGATGAATTAGCAGCCATTGGATGAGGACCGAAAAAGCTATGGGAGAGAAAATAGGAGCCTAACAATCTGATACCATGTGAATGTGTATCTTGTATTATCAAAATAACTCATAAGGAATATTACAATATATAATTCTGACTATGGCTACTCTAAACAAGGGAAGTATCAATTTACATAATGTAAAGAATTGTAACAGACAATTACAATGATTTGATTGGATATACAATGATTTACAATCAATTTACACTCTGTGTTTTATCACACTCATTGAACTTCGTCTTGGGATGCTTGACACGAGTTGCTCCAATCTTCATCCTACAATAAACAAGTAAGGCAATTAAGTCTAATGACACAGCATGGAATTTAAACATTCTGAATGGTAATAGTTCAACAAAATGAGACATATTAAATTTAGCCATCTTGTTTGAATTGTCAACAAGCACAACATCTTTCCTCCTAGAGCTTAAGGCTAATCCAAACACAAAATCCATGAAAATATCAAGTAATGATTTAGATGCATTGTGGTGGTAAGTAGCACAATTATGAACATAAGATTCTACATCTTTTTTCTTCTTTGGCCAATGAAAATATCCATGCAAAACATCATCACTCTTTGGAAAACCAAATTGTCCCTTATGTGAATCAATAATTAAACCATTGCTCAAATCCAAGCAAAAAGTGCCAATCCCATTGACTTTGAACCAAAACCCCTTGTGCAAGTAGTATTTGCCATAAGAAGTTTTCAAATGTGCCCTATAACTTCCCAGTGATTCCTTATCTCTATCAAATAAAGTTTTAGTAAAATCAAAGTTAAGGAATCTCGGATGTATGGAGATAAACAAATTTCTAACACATCTAGCAAGTAGGTCATTAATAGAAACATGACAAAGAAATCTAGAGAATTTTAATGCATGCTTTTGAAATAAAAGTGAGTAGAAAGTGACCCCCCTTCCTTTCTCTTGCTTACTATCCTCTTTAGTTACCAAGAGAGGTTGCACTTTGACACCTTGGGCTAGTCATTTCCACTGTATCACTGATTGTGGTCCCTTTGTTTGGTTACAAACTGGGCTAGAGGATTGGAGTGGTCAATGCAATTCCAAACATGGAGGTTCCACTTTTCTCTCTTTGATTTCTCCCTTCTTTAAGGCTGGTTTGAGAGCTTGCATCAACCTCAATTGAATTTCTTCTACTTGTTTAGGAGAAAAACGAGGCAAGACATATGTAACTCCATTCATGTGAAACACTTAAGTGTTCCTCATTCCATCATAACTTATTTTTCTGTCAAATTGTCATGGTCTACCTAACAAGATATGAGTAGCCTGCATTAGGATAGTATCACACAAGATTTCATCAGAGTAACTGTTAAAAGATAAAGGAATAAGAGCATGTTTGGTTACTCTAACTTCTCCTACATCGGATAACAACTGCAAACAATAACTATTCAGGTGATCAAGCAAAGGTAACTGAAGAAATTTAACCATAGCTGCACTAGCCTCATTTGTGCAACTTCTGGAATCTATTACCAGAGCAGAAGCATTCCCTTGAATTGACCCTTTAGCACAAAATATATTTTCACTTTGAGACTCATCTTTTTTTATAGGGTGAACATTCAAAACCTCCTTAGCAACAAGAGTATGACTAGACTCACTATCAGCATATTTAGAATCAAAATCTATAGGTATGAATGGTTCCCCCTCAACATGTTCATTGAGGGTTTCAAAATTGTCACAAACCTCATTATCGGACTTATATTCAACACAAGAAGCAAAATTTTCGGATTGTTTTGTTATCTTAACTACCCTCTTGTTAAGGCAATCACAAGCTATGTGGCCTCTCCCATTACATCTATAACAAATCAATTCTCTATCATGTTGAGGCCTCACTGCCTCACTTACCTTTTCCTTACCTTTGTCTCGTGAATCATCTCTTGGAGGAGGATGTTCATCACGCTTTTGAGAGGTGGAACAAGTGTTGTTCCATCTTGATGCATCATTTTTGGACCTGTACATTTTCATCTCTTTGATTTTTGCCTCAGATTCACGTGCAGCATACAAGGCATCATGAAGGGTGTCATATATCTGAAAACTCATTCCACATCGAATTTCTAAGTTCAATCCATGTACGAAACGAGCAATAGTTTTTGTCTCATCTTCATGTATGTCTCTCTGTTTAAGCAAAATATTTATAGTTTGGTGGTACTCATCAACTGACTTTGTTCCTTGCACAGTTCCCTGCAATTTTCTTTCAAGATCATACAAAAAAAGATTTCGGACGAAAGACTGGGCTCATATCTTCCCTCACTTAAACCCAAGATTCATAGGGAATAAAATTAGCAACTCTTTCTCAATTTCTTTTTCGCCACCAAGATAATGCATACCCCTTAAAAGATGTAGCAACTATCCTAATTTTTGTAAGATCAGAATATTGCTTTAAATAAAAAAAGAGTTTCAACAACATTCTCCCATTCTATGTATTCGGTAAGTCCTTTCTCACAGGTGAAGTTAGGAATTTCATGTTTAATGTTTCCTAACTCCGCAATACGCTGTTGGATCCTTTGACATCTAGGATCCACTCTTCCTGCTGGTGGCAGGTGTCGCTCATCATTGTGTGGTGGTTGCACTTGCTGTGAGCGTTGCTCCAATTTATTCAT